ACACAAAATGGTAAATGGAAAATAGAGTAAAGGCAAGACAGCTTATCAAGGCTAGATGGTTGTTTAACATAATACAATCTTGCTGTCTTGATTGTCTTCACAAAGAAAATGTGGTGTCTGTTATGCTGCTACACAGGAAATCCTTACAAAACTAGAGAAGAAAAACAAAACAGGACTGAACAGACACAGCAGAAGAAGAACTGTAAAGTGGGCAAAGACAGTGTTCTGAGGGGAGTCACTGGTGGCTTGTGCTGAAATGGAAATGCTTGAACTGGAAGAAGGGATCTCGAGAGCTGGTCCCAGGATTAATTTTACTCAATATATTAATTGGCGATACTGGCATAAGACATTAAGAATGGACTGGAAATAGCTGTTGTTGAAACAAATAAGTAAAATGAAATACTATACAGGAGGTATCTGATAACCTTCAAGCCTGGGGTAACAGAAAGCAGACAAAATTAAAATTTCAAAGTGCAAAATGAGCATAACAGATCAGTAGCAAAAAGGTCCAATACACTCTAGGACCTTGCTAACTAAAATTGCAGGAGCAGAGAAAATGGCAGGTATATCAATAGATATAGCTCAGTTAGGTGCCACTGGTATGATTTGATAGTGGAAGAAGGCAAATACAATCCTCTGATGTACCAGAAGTGTTTCTTAGAAAGCAGACACAAATGCCATGGCACAAAGCATCAGTTAGTCTTTACTGGAGTAATAGGGCATCATCCTTGTCCAACAGGGACTTATTCAGCCTTGAACAGGTACTGTAAAAACACATGGGAATCAATGGAATGGAAACCCAGTATCTCAGGAAAGGGCAAAGGTTTGTTTGGATTCAAGAAGAGGTTGAGAGGATGCAGTTATACAACACATGACAAAAGAAAAAAAGCTGTTGAAATGAAAGGAAAAAGTTTGCGTAAGTAAACTTAGGCCTAAATCATTTATGGCTACATTGTGGCTGGAAATCAAGAAGCAATGTTGCAGGGTGAGTGACCACAGCAGGTTAAACTTGTCTAAACCTGGGCTGTCACCTGGCTACATTTCCTCTCCCTCCTTGCTGTAGCCTGTGACATGCTAGAGGCACATGCTATTTAGACCACAGCCAGATCTGCTGGCTGGGAGGCTGCAGCAGCCCTGGTTTGGATTTCAGATGTGGTTTCTGAATATGGCTGCCACATTCCTTAGGAACACATAGTGAAGACAATAAAGCAAATTTTGAGATGGATCTCCCCAAAATGAAAGATTAGACTGCCTGTGGTAGGAAGTCCTTTTTAGACCTGCATCTAGCTGAAGCCAAATCCCTCTATGAGGGTCAGCCACAGGGACAAAACCCTGCAGCGGCTCCATTTTTAACAAGTTCAGGTTTTACTCCTGTTAGCAGGCAATGGACAGGAAGCAAAACTGTTGAGTAAGGCACTGGCTGTTAGCACTCGGCATACACATGCACGCACAAGTGCACAAAGTGAACAGTGAGAACACTGCTCCCATAGTCTGCTTGGTAGAAAGCCTGTGATCTACGAATGTGCAGGTGCTATTACCGATTTCACATTTAAACAGGTATCTTTCTATATGTGTTAAAGGGCTAAAATATTCCTATAGTTATAATAATCAAAATCTGGCTTTTGAATTTCTAAATTCATTGGAGTAAGGAAGTAGGAAGGCAAAAAGATGGAGCGCAAACTCTGTCGTGAGCAGTGGGGAGCAGCACTAACCCGTTCCCTTTGCATCAGTGCCAGGAAAAATGCTGGTGCATGTCCTGGAGGCAAGCCTGTTTGCAGAGCTCCAACAAGACTGCACTGCTGTGCTACCCAGCGCAGCATAACTTACAAAGGATCCTTTACCTCAGACTGGGAGAGTATCTTGTTAGATGTGCTGCAAAATTAATTCTCTTGGTCACCAAGGCAGAGTGAACCTTGATGCAGTTTTTAGTATGGCATTGCTTCCTCCCCTTGCATTTTTACGGCTTAGAGCAAGATGTCCAAATGGCTGAACTGACTCCATTAGGTAGTTTTATAAGGCCCCTAGAAGGGTTGGTGGTCAGCAGGCTGACCTCTGGCACACGCTTGTGTTTGTGTGCATGTTTTTGGTTTGATAACGAGTTGGTGCTGCATTCTCCATTTAGGGAATTTAATAAGTGGTTCTCTTAGATGTACAGAATCTGCCATCCTTTCATTATAGGAACTGCACCAGTTTAAAAGAGGTGGGAGAAGACACTAAGTGAGTTTTATCATTTACTAAACAAAGAGATATGTTGAACAGAAACGGCAGAGTAACTTTACAGTGTGCTTATCACTCTCCATTTCTTGCTTGTGGCAGTATGCCTGACTGCGGGGGTGATACAAACCCATATGATATTTTCACTTACCTCTCGGCAGCATTTCTGGGACAAGGAAGCTGTGTACACAGTTATGGGATGTAGTTAATTGCATCTGGAAATATACAATCAAAATTTTTGGGCTGTGAGTTGGTTGCGGAGCACCTGAACAGAGTGGCTTCTGCCAGGCAGAGGGAGCAATTCATGAGAGTTTTTTACAGCAGCAATGCCTTCTGCCATTAGGATGTCCTCAGAAAAAAGGGAGTGGGGGGAAGTGACAAGTCCATTGCCAGGCCATTATCAAGAACCTTTCCTACTTTCCTCTATGAATGGCAAAATCTTGCTTCTCTTCATTTAATTCACAGCAGAATCCCTCCCTGGGATGTTTGTGTGTAACCTGCCCTCAGAAATGTTAGGAAAACTGATGTTTTGTTTTTGAGATCCTGTTTCTTGAGTGGTGATCATATGCATCACATGAGCTTATGTAGTCCTATCGTTTTCCTGTGGTTGCACCAGTGATAACAGTGGATCCATTGCACTGTCTCCATATTCTTTTATCTACATTATTATCTTGCCTGGCTCTGTAGCACAGACACTTTGCTGGTAAAGGCATTTGTCTATGTCTCTTGTGAACTATTATCCTACTGTCTTTCCTTTCTCCCCACTGCTGGTGATAAGAGTGTCCATTAGGGAAGAAGGAATTAACGGCTGTCAAGAAACTGCAGCACTGGAAATGTTACTACAACCTGTAGGTTTACAAAAATTGTCTGCAGAAATTTATCCTAGCTCTTGAAGAAACAAAAAAAAACCTGCTCCCAGGTCTGCAAATCTCCACAGAAGCTCTAGGGCCTGGGTGAGCAGCACTAAGGCTGCCATCGGCCACCACCATTCATCCCCAGAGCTCGCCCTATTCCTCTTCAGTCCCAGCAATAAGGAAGCAAAGCCACAGGCTCAAGTGTCCAACAGTTGCTTGCCAGAGGATCCTTCTTGAGTGCCAAAACTTGAACAGCTGTCTTCTTCACAGTCATGGTAGAAAGCAATAAACATACACATTCATTAAATGATAACTGCTTAGGGGACAGTGGATATATGTATAAACTGTATTCAGTTTGTATATAAGCACTTGTATTGTACATAAACTGCTTGAGGGAAGGAACATATTCATTCTCTTTATGGTTACACAGTCCGTGATTTTACCATAATGCTATAACATAAAGCTCAGATAACATTCACCACTACATTTTCAATAACATTATCACTATGTACTGGTTAACTGAGGCTCTCAAAGTAAAAATGGCTTGTCCTGATCCTGTTGTGAGTCGGTGGGAGGACCAGGAGTAGAACACAGAAATTCTTTCCCAGTGCCACACTCAGAGCACGTCACAGCTTTATTCCCGTCCCTTTCTGGGCTCCCAGCATTTCCTCAGCAGCACTTCGCTGTGACTCTGATTTACCATTGCTGCAGTGCAATCTGAAAGTTGGGAAAAAGATGAAAGAAGTGCAAGACTAATTGTTTTTCTTCCCATTACTCAGATATTTTTGTCTGAGATGCACAGGGGTGTGCTCTGATGGATCACGTGGACAGGGATAAGCCTGACGCATGGCCTTGTGTGATGGGGAGGGATCTGCAGTCCTAGACCACAGCAGAGGAGCGTGGCCCTGAGCCGCACAGAGTGCAGAGCCCTGGTAGGAGATAAGAGCCCTGGCTTTGGGGCAGCAAATTCCACCCGGCTCCATGACCTCACCTGTCTAGTATGGCTGACTGGAAATCACAGATTGCCTTGGCTGGCTCCATTTGCCATGTGGGTCATGGAGCAGGACAGGCTGCAAAAATACCCAAAGGCGATTCCCATGTATTGCACAGGAGATTGGGCGGTGAATGCAAAAGCAAGGGAAGCAGCACTCATTGGCAAGCGTCTCAGAAACACAGACTTTCAATTTTCTGCAGATCCAACGTCCACATTCCTAAGCAATCCACATACCTACCTTCTACTTTTTTTTTTTTAAAAACCCTGTCGTGTTGAATTTACACCAGAGACAGACCGATTCAAACAATAAGAAGAGTTGTTACAGCAATCCCAAAGGAATACATAACAGCACATCAGAACCCAAGTGTTGCCTAACGGCGAACTGCCTCCCATTAAAACACCCCACCACTGACCAGGTGGCACAATGACTACCCCATGTATTGACATTCGTACGAGCACAAGATTCCTTTACTTCTCCACTCGCATCTAGACAGTGAGTCACTGTCTTACTGAGAGTCCTGTGGCAGTGAGTTGACTCTGACCATTCTTTTTAGAAAACATATGGTAAGAGGAGCTGCTGTCCTTAAGAGCTACTATACATCTCTGCTCTGCAAAGATCCCACACCCAATGCTAAACGTGACTTCCCCCAAAAGACAGCTAGTGTTGGTTTCCACACAGCAAAATTTGCGACCCACTTCACTTTTTCAGCATTAAAAATTAAATTTGATTTAATAAAAACTTTTACAGATTTTCACTTGGAGAAACCTCACCCATACCTGCACCCTTAGGTCTGCCCCAGCTGCAATTGCTCTGAGCAAATCCAAAGGTCCATTTGGATTTTCCGGAAAGTTAATTTGCTCCATATGACTGAGAGCAGGCATCTGGTAAACCTGCAAACTATGCACACAAATCAGCTCCACTATCTTTCTGTCTTCAGTGCAAGGAGTTCACCTTCCACACTGGCTACGAGGTGCTCATACAGCGGCTGTTGGATGGGAGGAAGATGTGCAAAGATGTGGAGGATTTGCTCAAGCAGAGGTAAGAAAATCAGAGTGAAAAAAGTGTGAACAACCTCCATTTTCTCTCCTGTTTGGCATCTGGAAAGGAATAGTAGGCTGTTTCCAAATTTGGTAGTGATACTAGTTTACATAGAAAAAGCCTGAGTGATTTGAATCCTAGCCTTTTGATGTGATTTGTGAAGGTAGGTAACAAATAGAAATTTCAAAGATTTCAGAAGAGAAGAGAAGGTTGAAAGAGTCAGAAATCCAGAGCTCCATTAAGACCCAGGTCATTATTGGTCCAGAATCACAGGGCAGCACACACATCCACAAGTAGTGTTACTGAATTGCACCTTTTACAGGAAGCAAACAACCTGCACATTTTTCTTTCTCTTTGAGGGTGCTGCTGCCACAGGCAGTGTTTCAGTTTCCTGCAACTACTAAAAACGGGCCATTTTTCAAATACAGACAAAGCTACCAAAGATGCTACCAAAAGCCTTTCCCAGACACCCAAGATAGCCCACATCATTCACCAACCTTACCAGATTTGAATAACAATGTTGTAGTTTCTGTCTGTCCTTTACAGGCTTCTTGGGTGCTGCTCAACAACAGCCACGGACAGCTGACAATTTTGTGGGTGAGAAAATTCATATTACACAGCTGCTCTGACTCCTTTGCCATTCATTTTTGTACTACTGACTTAGAAAAATGTATCTGAAATTTGGTTCTGTTTTTAAATGGCTGGGTTTCAACAGTTTCAACACATAGCACGAGGCACATACACGCTCATGTGTGACCTGTGGGAAAGACCACACAATACGGATTATAAATTCAGCAGGTAATCCTAGAGCAGTTAATCTCAGAACCGTCTCCTTATGAATATTGCTCTGCTTTCCTCAGTCACAGCCTTCTTTTTCTTCCCGTGCTGTCCACATCTAGTTTTCTGGTTTTAGGTTGGTTTTCTGAAGGCTACTTTTCAAGCACTGGGACTTTCAAGGGGATGTGAGCTGTCAAACTGAAAGTTGACTATTTCACAGAGTGTAAGAGTGTCCCATCAAAATCTGAAGCTATTTGAATTGCTTTTCTTGACCACCACTGGAAGCATATTTTATTGCTGCATGTCACACAGTCCTGAAGTCACATCTGTCTGACGGTAGCTTAGCTTCAACTGTTTAAAATAGCTCCTTTGTGACTCATAACTTACAGAGATCAGAATTATATTGCAGGCTTCAGGAAGGCTCTGCACTGCAGCATGCATCTGATGCTATATATGCCTGTTTCTTTCCAAAATGTTACAGAGGTTTCTGCAAGTTGCAGGATAAGGTTCTTCGTGGTTTGTGGTGGAGGCACAAAGAACTTTCCGCAAAGAAGAAAAAATACACATACAGTCATTTTGTCAATCTGAAAGCTACAAGAACAAATGTTTCCATGAACTTTTGCACACCCCCAAAACATTCCATGTGAGCATGCATACGTGCGTGTGCTTGTGTGTGTATGTACATGTTGGCAGAGGAGGAAAAGGAGAAAAGATAGCCCGCACTGAGTTGCAGAAAGAAGGTAATATTTCCAGTTTATTTCTGGAAGATATGTGTTTCAGCTTGTCCTCATGTCATTCATGGGAATAACCTAGGAGGAGATCAAAGCATGGGATGAATCTCTGTTCCTAGAGGCTGCCCATATCATGGGCTTCATGCCAGAATTTCAGCAAGGACTCATGCAGCAGCTGCCCTAAGTCCTGAAACCAACTGCCCTGGCTGCACTAACACTTTACTAGTTTTCCACCCAGGTCAATTACTTTTGCTCACAGATAACCCTGCCTGGTCCACAGGAGGGCCTGAGAGGTTGGAGAGTGAGAAAACAGTGGTATTCCAGAACAAAGCCCCAGACTTAAAACACAAATTATGTTCCAGCTCTCGATGGCTGCAGGGAAACATAGAAGCTGTGTGCAACAGTACTGGAAACCGGGAAAGGCAGCACAAAGATGTGAAAAGATGGTCTCAGCCTCGTGTCAAACTCCTCTGACCTTGGGCTAGTCTAGTCCCATGCCTGAGGTTTCAGGAAGATTTGACCCAAGAGTATTTTAGGAGCTGGGACTGGCTTAAGAACTGGCCATGCTTTTTTCCCGTGATATATTGTGTACTGAGCAAGCAAAGCGGGACTGTAGCACTGGAGTTATTCTCATTGCTGCATTGCTGTACATCCACTGGCACTAAGCAAAGTCTCTGACACGAAAGCGTTTCTTGTTATTAAAATAAGAAGAAAATTAATCTATTCTACTTGTGCAGCATTATGTGTCTCTGCAGTATATTTCCATTTTGATGAAATTTCATTCATCTAACATGAAAATGAAGTGGTATGTCTGTGTGGCCTGTCACCATATTTTGCACCCTGTTCTTCTAGGGGGAATCCCAAAGCAGTGACGTAGGAACACTCCCACTAAAACGCAGCAATTTCTCGTGCAGGATGACAGCAATTAACTAACCGAACTTGCAGCTTTAGACACATGGGAGCCATGGACAGAGGCCAAGAACAGCCTCCACTCTGGGCTGTGGCGACTGTAGGCTGCTGTGTAACCAGCACTGCTATTCCACCAGCCTGACAGATCTCCTTGGACTGGGGGAAAGTCCCCAGGATGAGCCTGCCTAAGGTCACAGAAGTAGGTTGCAAACCTGTGAAATTGCACCAGAGCCACCGGTACAGCCAGCTCCAATGCAAGGCGCTCACAGCCATCAGATGCAGAGGACCAGTCGAAAGGGTGGTTGGATGCTCTCAAACAGAGACCCACCCCAACAGCTGCCGTGTTGCAAAACTGAAAGATCAGCCCTCAAACCGCTGTAATTCAGCAAATAGCAATAATAAAGCACAGCGTGGCCGAATGGGAAGATGGGTGTAAGAACAAACCAGCAGGGTTGCATGGCCTTGCACCCACATTAAAATTCCTTTTCTGAATGAAGAGTACTTTCCTTTAAGGTGCCAAGTTTCAGGCTCAAAACTGTTTGAAATGCATTTAAACCCCTTGTGAGAACTGGACTTACCCTAAACAAAATCCTCCCCTCACCCCAAAATCCTAGCACCAGGCTATCTGTTCATTATTTATTATTGACCATTCAATAGATTTTAGCAGCTATGCAAAGACTGAAAACTCAGTTCCGCCCCAGTCTTGCACCTGGGAGAAAGGAAATAACATTTTTAGTACTGTCGTGTTTTAAGCCCAGCCAGCAACTAAGCACCACGCATCCACTTGCTCACTCCCTCCCCCCTCAGTGGGATGGGGGACAGAATTGGGGAAAAAATAGTAAAACTTGTGGGTTGAGATAAAGACAGTTTAATAGAACAGAAAGGAAGAAAATAATAATGATAATAATAAAATTACAATAATAATGATAAAAGAATTGGAACATACAAAACAAGTGATGCACAGTGCGATTGCTCACCACTTACCGACCGATGCCCAGTTAGTTCCCAAGCAGCAGTCCGCCTCCCCACCAGGCCAACTCCCCCCAGTTTATATACTGGACATGATGTCACATGGTATGGAATACCCCGTTGGCCACTTTGGGTCAGCTGTCCTGGCTGTGTCCCCTCCCAACTTCTTGTGCCCCTCCAGCCTTCTTGCTGGGCATGAGAAGCTGAAAAATCCTTGACTTGGTATAAACACAACTTAGCAACAACTGAAAATAGCAGTGTGTTATCAACATTATTCTCATACATAACACTATACCAGCTACTAGAAAGAATATTAACTCTATCTCAGCCAAAACCAGGACAAGTACAAGTACATTTTTTTTTTTAAGCAGGAAAAAAAAATTTCTTCCAGAGCTGGGGGAGGGGAAAACAGCAAAGAAATAATTGTATTTCTTTATTAACCATAGAAACAGAACTACTTTCCTGAGTCACTAGTTACAGTTTCCCATTAGGTGAGACATCGCATTATATTGTCCTCTGCATAAAACTGTCACAGCCTCACCTTACAGCTAGCGAGGCTCCTTCCCGCTCTGCCTCCACTGCAGCTGTTCAAGCAGCACCTCATGTTTCTAACGGTTAGAAATTTGCCTGCTACTCCTGGCTCCCATTTATTCATAACCTCTCTTTAATGGATCCTTTGGAACCTACTCTTCACTCCCCTTCCAGACTTCGTTTTGATGCGTCAAGTCTGCCATCACCTTTTAGGTTTCTTTTCCAAAAGAGGCTCTCGGTTCTGAGCATCTTAACTACACACTTCTGTACACCTCTTCTTCTAATTGAATCCAACTTTTGGGGGAAAGAGTTGTACACAGCACTCCACAGTAATCAAAGCCATGGAGATGGGCTTCATTTTCCCTCATTTCTTCTAGAAATAGCTCACCAAAAATATTTTAGAGGTAACTAATAGCTCTAGGATTGAGGAGATAGAGAAATTAAAGAAATAGTATTTCTCATTTTTTGTACCTCAGATGCAATTACAAGATTTGTGTAAACATGCTCCTGGTAGCACTAAGAGAAATTGAGTAAGTTTTTCTTTTAACAGAGCACAAGCAGAAGAGAGATATGGGAAAGAACTGATTCAAATCGCCCGAAAAGCAGGAGGACAAACAGAAATCAAGTAAGGAATTCTTTTATTATTAGTGCAAACAAAAGCATTTTGGAAGCAATATCAGACTCTTGTGCTTTGTCTGTGAATGGGGTCATAAGCTGCTCACTTCAGTGCACTACACAGCACTTCACAATGTACAGGAAAAATGGAGAAACATCACAGTCCTTCAAAGCAGGATTCACAAAAACTCTTATTTGGGAACTGCCAGTAGGTATTTACTGAGACATTTTTTTATTTCAGTATTCCTGACAATGTTTAATATTTGCTTCCAAAAGCAAACTAAGTGATGGGAAAAAAAGGGAAAGGAAAAGGTTGTGAAATGTTTATGATGATGGCTTGGCAATTCTGGGAAGATGGTGGAGACTGTGACAGAACAAGCGCAAAGTGCAAAGACACCAAAAATTAGCTTCTGCAGCAGAAAAAGCTTAGCTTAGGAATACAAACTTTAAAACTCTTTGAAGGGACTTAATGTGAAAGAAATCAATGGAACTACTGAAATACACTGAAATGACACATATTTTTCTCTGTCTCCTCTACTACTATCTTACATCATGTATAAATTGCGTTGGGAGGGCAAGATATATGTTGTCATGGAATTTAACTTAATAAACACTGCTGATAAATTGCAGCTATTATTGATGGTAGCAGCAATAATAAGACATTTTGTCATTATTGTAATAAATAATAATACAGTGATAAGGTGGCAAAGGATGAAGATTTGGGGTCACAGAAGGCAAGTCTGAAAGAGAAGACCTCAATCTAAACACAAAATTCTATTGATCCCTGGGGCCTGCTACCCTCATCCATCCCATATCTCATTTCTTAATTGCAGTCTCCTTTTAATGTCAATTTATCACCTTCAGTGTGAGCGTAGTTTCCTGTTCATATTTTATGGGAAAACTTGACCTCAAACCCTTGCACCACCATGGCATGCAAGTGCCAGGCAATCACCTATAGCACTTGCTGTTGATTTGGTGGTGGCACATCCCGGCTGACAGGGAAACTGTTGCATTAACCCAAGCGCCTGGTAGTGTGGAGAACACTGAGGCTCACTCCAGAGAACATGCTCCCTCCTCCCTCCCCTAGTGCTCCATCTCTCCCTGGCCTCTGAGCAATGCAGTAAGGTATAGCAAGGTTCCTTGCTAAGGCTGCTGGAGATAGCTTCTACCTTCCTGGGATCTCAATTCACAGACCTAACTGGAGAAAAGGAAGGAGGAGAAAAAATATTTTAAAATTAAAATAGCAGATTAAGGATGGATGGCTTCTTCCCAAAGGCTAAGATCAGCATTCCAGGATAAACGAAAGGCTCCACCTAAATTTCTTTACTGGCAATGCAGGGCAGGCAGAGCAAATGTGTTCGGAAACAGACAGCTTTGGCTGCCCTTCTGTGACCTAGTGGATAATTCATGGGCCTGACTTTTCCTAAGAGATTGTAAGAGCTTGATTTAGAGGCAGAGCCGAGTCCTAGGGTTGGGATATGGATCCAAGTTCCCCTCAAGTTGGAGGAAGTTTGGACTGGGGCCCAGGTCCACTTTGATCCAGCAATTTTATAGCTTGGCATAGAGAGAAGGCTGAATATACCAACAAAGCATGCTGCAGAGCTGATTTACTATGTTTCCATAAACCCACGCCTGGTCTGGGTAGCGACCAGCTTTGCACTGATATTTTTATCAGAGCAAATGTCTCTCTGTATCTGTTATGAAGCAGAGAGAGGACACTTTGCTTCCCGTCATTCAGCATCCTCTGGTTGTTTAAGGAGTTACACAGATGGGCAGTGAAGGGCATTTGTCCCCAGTAAACACTTTAAAATCAGAGAAAACTAGGGTCTATTCAGGGCTGGAACAACTCTTGAAAATTAAATATTTGGTTTGAATGCCTTAAACTCTTTGACAAAGTGTGAAGTTTCTGTTTTTTTATACGACACTGTTGTGGTTTAACCCAAGCCAGCAACTAAGCACCACGCAGCCACTCACTCACTCCCCCCCATCCAGTGGGATGGGGGAGAAAATTGGGAAAAAGAAGTAAAACTCCTGGGTTGAGATAAGAACGGTTTAATAGAACAGAAAAGAAGAAACTAATAATGATAATGATAACACTAATAAAATGACAACAGTAGTAATAAAAGGATTCAATGTACAAATGATGCACAGGGCAATTGCTCACCACCCGCCGACCGACACCCAGCCAGTCCCCGAGTGGCGAATCCCTGCCCCCCACTTCCCAGTTCCTAAACTAGATGGGACGTCCCATGGTGTGGAATACACTGTTGGCCAGTTTGGGTCAGGTGCCCTGGCTGTGTCCTGTGCCAACTTCTTGTGCCCCTCCAGCTTTCTCGCTGGCTGGGCATGAGAAGCTGAAAAATCCTTGACTTTAGTCTAAACACTACTGAGCAACAACTGAAAACACCAGTGTTATCAACATTCTTCACATACTGGACTCAAAACATAGCACTGTACCAGCTACTAGGAAGACAGTTAACTCTATCCCAGCTGAAACCAGGACAGACACTGATTGCTGACAGCAGTTCTGCTCCCAAGGGCAGTCCTTCAGTGAGACCCGAGGGAGGGAACCTACGTACTAGCTGTAATAAGAAAAGCTGGAAAAGACTATGCTACAACTATCCCCATTATTCCAAGTGCTTCCTCTTTATAGAACTCCCTATTACTGACTAGCACACTGAATCCTACAAGTACTTGACAGGCTGAACAGGGCTGTTCATATCTTCAAATGCAGCTTTAGGTAGCAGTATTTCTCAAAGTCTAATGAAGGCGTTGTGCAGGTATTTGTACCCAAAACTTGCATTTGACAATCACCAGGAAAAAAAGTAGCTTACAGTTTTTTTTGCAGAACATTTTACAGAACTTCGTGTGCCACACAATGTATTGCAGAGGAGCAGGAATTACTAATTTTAGATCACTCATTTGCTTGCTAATACAAAATTATTATCCTCTAGTCTTAAATTCAGCCATCTTTTAAACATCTCAGATACTAAGGCTTTCTATCACTTCTCCTGGGAAATTATTTCACACCCCAGTAGTTCTCAGTATCAGAAAGGTACCCAATACCCTTTCAAAAAGTCGATAAAAAGAACATAGAAAATCCATCCACAACAACCACCCAAAAACTTCTAGTATCAGAAAATACCCAGAAGACCTTAAGAGAAACAACTGCAAGGTCAATTAATTCTGTTTAGCACAACTTCCAAAACAAATGAATTGGCTGCAAAAACCTCCCATCAGTGGCACAAAGCTGGAGTAAGCAGCAGTCCCCATGCAGGGGCCCGTTGGCAAAGCATTCGTGGCAAACCTACACCACAGCCAACACCAAATCTGCTGAGCTGGAGATGGCAGCACCGCTACATGCGATGGGCAGCCCAGCAGGGCCTCATGTGCTTATGTCCTCCCAGTACCAGCATGAACAGCTCTTTCCAACTCCAGAAACACAGTCCCTGGCAGCTGCCTGGCTCTTCTGATCTCAAACCCTCCGAGGTTAAAAAAATGTAGAGGAAAAAAGCCCCTTTCTGTTGCTTCCTGTGCTTGGAGAGAAGAGGGTCTGCTCAAGGGAGAAATTAGGCAGCAGTGGGGAGGTACTGCCTGGGTTGTTACTTCAGTACAGTCAGGACCAGCACAAAACAAGGCGAAGAGAATAAGCACGATGATGGAGACAAGGCTGGAGAAGTCTATGGCACACTGCGCCAGATAGTGGCCATCGCTGTAGAAAACAGTTCTCTCCCAAGCCCCCCCATATTTTAAAAGCTTTTTGTTTTGAATCAAAGAAAAGAACAATTTCAACATTTTTTCAGGCTCTTCCCTTCTCCCCCAAACTTTTGCTTCAGCTGGAGCAAATCGCTGACCTCGGCTAAATGTATAAATAGATTCAACTGCCCATTTTTATTTACTGAAAGACACAGATGAAGAAATATGCTGCTGACTCAGAAGAAAGATAGTAGGCAAGGCTCGCTGAAATGTAACAGCAGCTCTGGCACCACTTTCCATTGGTTTGAGAACAATCTAGGTGACAGCAGCCATCAGGTTTCCACCCTATATGCTGTCCAGCGCTTGTTCCCTCAGCATTTTAACAGCTCCTCTGACGGAGGACTGACCCCTCAGGGCCCAGCACTGCTCGCACTTGGCACAGACAACTACAAGCCAAGACTGTACTAGGACACTTCACAACTGAGTATCAGCAGTAATATAACATCGTGACCTGGGAAAAGAGGACAATGTTGCGTCTCCACCTGCAGACTCCTTAGCACCAGAAATGTGAGAAATCACTGCTACTGGAGGTGCAGCTGACTTCAGTGAGGTCCTTGCTGTTCTTTTTCAGACCAGTACTGGAAGTGACCATGGCAAGCCTACAGCTGTAGAAAACTTTCTAACAAAACTAAACTCAGAGAGGCAAACATGCCACAATGAGGGAGACATGCTGCAACCACTTTATTTTTTATTAAAAAAAAAAAAAAAAAAGCAAAGATAGGGTTTCTAAAAGAAGCTGGTGCTGGTTACCATGGGCATAGCAAACAAACACTCCAGCTTCCAGCTCAAGAAATAAAAGTTCCCTGTTAAGTGCTGCCTAACAGCCAGAGGACACAATCATTCAATAGTCCAACCTGATTCAAGCAAATTTGGGCGTTCTGGCTGCTTGCCCTTGCCTTGAGCACTGCAGCTGGTAGAAACTACTTCCTATAGGGAAGGGAGATATCCTCTTTCCAACCCATGACACAGATCTAACTCAGCAGTTGCTATAGGCCTTGGCAAGTTCATTCTAATGTACAGAAGGATGCACACACTTGAATCTAAGTGCAAGACTGCAAGAAGGATCACACAGGCTCAGACCAAAATTCCTTCAGCCTAATATTCTGTCCCTGATACTAGATCCCAAGGGAAGAGTAGAAGAACAGGGCAAGCATATGAGGATATTTCTCCTAAATTATCTTGTAGCCATAGCAACTGGTAGTTCAAGGGCTGCCACACCAGCAGCAGCTTTCTATGTAACAGCCCCCAATGGAG